GAAATGGTTCGAAGAGTAAAGCAGTGACTTGATCGAAACCCGCGTCGTAGTGGCCGGAAAATGGCTCGTGAGCTTAACATATCGCAATATACCATTCGACAAATATTGAAAAATGAGCTCGGGGTAAAGCTAAGCCAAAAAAATTCCAAGAACTTACACCGCAACAGGCTCAAAAGATCTAAAGAGTTGCTTCGCTTGGGCGAAAGTGGTGAACTGCGAATTTGGGTTTCTCCGATGAGAAAACATTCGTTGTCCAGCAGTTTGTGAACAAACAAAATGTTCATGTTTACTTGCCAAAGAGGTTAGCTGAAAATGTGCACCTTCGGTTGGCCACCAGAACTCAAGCGCCGGCCATGGTGATGGTGTGTGAAGCCATAAAAGCCGAGGGTCGCTCTCCGCTCGTATTAATCGACCGTGGACTCAGAATAAATGCCGAATTGCGAAAATATTCTGGACAGAAAATATTCTTGGGCACGCAAATATTTTGGCCGCAGACCTTGGACATTCCAACAGGCCTCAGCACCATCGCACTCAGCAAGCGCAAACCTAGAATGGTTACAAAATTAGGTTCCTCGCTTCATTTCCAGCGCACAATGAGCACCACAATCTCCGGATACCAATCCGTCTGGAGTATTTTGGAAAGCAAGGTTGGCACTAAAAACTACCAATGTGTCGATCATCTCAAGCAAGCGCTTCGCCGGGAATGGGCGAAGCAGAGCAACAATCGGGCAGCGTATGACGGTTTCATTGGCGATTGAAGGCAATAATTCGTGCCAAAGGAGACCAATTCGAACAAATCTAAACTTATTCTAAAATTTGATGCTATTTCCGATATTTTTGCTTTCCTTCAATAAAATTTAAAAAAATGTAAAAATTATGGCGTTTGACTTTGTTGCAGTTTTTTTTTCTCACCCTGTATATATACTTTTTGGGGTCTACAACGAATATTTAGGGATGCTATAAACGGAATGACAAAGTTAATATACCCTCCTCCCCAATATGAAGGATATAAAAAAAGCTAGGCAATTTTTTGAAAGCACGGAATTTATTTTTACTTTAATTTTTGACTCTCACTCTTATTTTTCAAACAGGAGTACTCGCGAGCGCTCCCCCATAAAGCAAAAGAGTTCAGAGTAAACTTCTTGTAAAATTTGTACTCTTCAAACACTCTCACTCGTGAGTAAAATCGAGAAAATTTGAGCTCTTGTTTTAAGAGTCGAATGGATGAGTATGTATGCCCTAAGAGATTTTACATATGAAGTGACAACAATTTCTTTAATCTCGCCAAGCATAAGTTGACAAATACATCTTTTTTAATCCGAATAAAATTCTCACAGGTCTCTGATACTCTCATACTCCCTTTTAATTCTTTCGCCTCGCAGCTTATAAAAATTCCTATACCCATTCAGTATGAATGTAATGAAAAGGAACTCTCAAAATTCCCCATTTACAACTCCATTGGTCCTGCAAAAAGAAAACTATTCTTTACTATACTCTACCAAACTAAGTTTTATTGCACAAGTTGCACATAAATTAGTTGCTGTACAGACTTACTCGCACATAGTCTGGCCGAACCCCATGAGTAAAATTTATTTTCCTAAAAAATGTTATTAGTGTGTGTGTGAAACAGCTACGACCACCAACAAAAAGAGCAACAACAGTAATAATGCCATAAAAATATTACATATTTTTGGAAATAGCATAGTAGGTAACAAAAAAAAAAAAAAAAAACACAGTGCAGGAAGAAAATGGTAAAAAAGAGGGGGAACAAGGATTTCACAAAACTAACCACCACTAAAGTTACTCATATATGTGTGTGTACGTGTATTGGGTATATCCTCTTTTGGTTATTTGTGTGCTGTGGCGTTCCTGCGAAATAAAAACTATTTAAATGTTAATAGGTTTAATGTTGGTTGTTGTAGTTGTGGCTTGAATGTAATGTTTACAGTAGAAGATAGACAAAAATGTTATCAGTATCTACAGATAATTTAGATATGTGTATGTATGTACACATGAAAAAATGCCAAAATGTAGAACAATAAGGTCTTGTGTATTTCTGTTTGTATTTGGGTTTTGCCCACCAACCAACCAACCAAGTATCTTTAAGTATTTTAGGAGTAACCAAGGAAGCATTAGTGAGTGTATGTGCGCTGGCATTGGAGGAGATCTTTGTCGGCCAAACCAAAGAACTTTTGACATCTACAATATATCATAGTTATGAAACAGTCATTAATTATATAAGAAAATACTTTTTTCTCTTGACTTTTGGTTTTGCTATACATAAAGATATGTATGTGTATGTGGTCTGGTGGTACTCGTCATCGTCTTCCCGTGGTATATTTTATTGTGTTTTTTTTTTCTTGAGATAAAGAAAACAAGAGCATTATAACTTATTTTACTTGTTTTTATATTCAACATTTGTCCAGCATAATTGGACGAAACTTATTTTCAAGTACCACAGACTTCTTGTTCTCATTTAACCACGAGATGCCCTCCTAAAAAAAACATATAAATTTTGTTTATTATATTTTGTTGTTTTCATAAAAAATTAAATTTTTTTTATAGTTTTGCAAATAAGAAGCCATTTTTCTAATTTTATTATTTTGGATATTTGTAGTATCCCAAGAGAATACGACGGAAGTCTTGAGAAAATAAATAAGAAACGAGTAAATGTCAGGCGGTGCAATAATCAAATTTAATTAACAAAACGAGCTATAATTTTGTGAATATGAATTTCAAAATGTTTCCTAACTTAGATCTTGATGTGGATGTGATATCAATTCAGATTAAGATACCCAGCAATAATTTTATGGCTAAAAAGTAGTTAACTTCTGAGTTCAATGCACACCAGCCGGCCTGACAGGTAGACCGTCATGGCTCCTATCAAGTCCTAATGTCCTGAATTTCGTTCTAAGACACCTGTAGGCCAATCTGTAACTTTAAACGAGTGAAAAGTTATTAAAATTTCTTTGTTATCGAAACAAAACAAACAAATGAAAGTTGTTAAAAAGATTAGAAAAAGGCCTACTGAGGCATAAAGCTATTTCCATATTTTCGATTTCTACTAAAATTGCCGAGGCATTTGTGCATTTTCAATTCGGGCTTGTATTACCCATTTGGTGCATAATTAACTTGAAATCGGATAAAGATATATATGGGAGCTATATTTAAATCTGAACCGATCTCGATAAAATTCGGTAAAGATATTTCTAAGCTGTATTTGATATATTTCCCCAAATATCATTGCTACAGAAGGCATATTACGGCTGCTGAGGACAAAAATAAAAAATCGGATGAACAGTTTATATGGGAGCTATAGCTATGTCTGAACCGATTTCGATCAAATTTGGCATACTTATTTTCAGGCCTAATTTGGGCGTATGTGCATTATTCCATATTATTTCGGCTGATATTACACGTTTGGTGCACAATAAAAGGCAAATCGGAAGAAGATATATACGGGAGCTATATTCAAATCTGAACCGATCTCGACAAAAATTGAAGAAATATATTTCTGAGCAACTGAGTACCCCAAACATAGAGGTTACAGAAGGCATATTACGGCTGCGGAGGTTCACAGATATATATCATCTTCACAGCAGATCTTGTGTTGGCAAAAATGTTTGTTGGTATGAAATTTAACGCTCGAGTTCTTTGAGCGTTTTGTTTATGAAAATCTTGAACCCCACATAGGGAGGCACCAGAAGGAATGGTCCGATCTCCACCATCTTTACGATAGATCTTTAGTGATAGAAATATTCAGATTTGCCAAGTCTGTCGCGTTTATTACCTCAAAATTTTGACCTTTTGTGGGAGAGTTACCAGAAAAAGTGGACCGATACATTCCATATTCACAGCAGATCGTGTGTTAGTAGAAACAATGGGTTGTGTGAAACATGAAAACAACCGGATGTTTATTTCGGATTTCAAGATCGTTTTTGTTATTCAAAACTTTGACCTTTTGTGGGGGCGGGGGTACCAGAAGGAATGGTCCGATTTCTACCATCTTAATAACAAATCGTTTGTTGTTTGAAATATTGAGATGTACCAAGTGAGAATGAAATCGGATTTTAATTTCTCTTTTAATGAGCTTCATGTATGTTCAAAAGTTTGACCCTTTGTGGGGGAGGTACCAGAAGGAGTAGAACGATATATTCCATCTTCACACCAAATATTGGGTTAATAAAAATATTGTGATGTGTGTAATTTGAAGATAATCGGACTTTTATAATATTATATAATTTTTCAAATTTTTGACCCTTTGTGGGGGAGGTACTTGATGTAGTGGACCGATATTGTCCATTTTCGCACCTGACGTAGCACTGATGCAAATATTAGGATTTACAAAGTTGGAGCAAAATCGGAGTATCTTTTCTGTGCAGTAAAATATTTTTTATTTATTTTTTTTTATTTCGACCTTTTGGGGGAAAGTAACAGAAGTAAAGTAACTCGATCTAAGTGTCACAATAAAATTACGATGTACGAGTTTTGGACCAAATCCCTTCGAGAGTTATTTCGATGAGGCACATTTGGCCGTATCAAAGATATATAACTTTTCTAGCCATATGGCTGAGAGTATAAAAATTTAAAATTATGTAGGGCGTCTTATAGTCCGACCCGTCATATTTGTGTCCTTTCCTTAATCGGCTTTCAACTGAGGCAGTGCTCCAATCTCACATCCCCCAGTATCACCCTCTCCACCACTCTCAGTATCACCCTCTCCAAAACTAGTAGCGAGAGTTGTATAAAAATTAACTACCCCTCATCAAAATTCTTTGTTATCTTCTGAAAAGAATAAAATTGCATTTTAATTATGTTGTTTGAACCTTAAGTATTGAGTGCCAAAAGTGGCTGGCTACTTTCTTTGCCAGTCATAAAAGTACAACTCGATTATCTTTGGCCGGTCGTAAAAAAGTAAATAAAAGAAACAAAGAAACGTACAGAAAAAAAAAAACAAAGTGGTGACACAAAGAACAACTATCATGGCATGTTCGACTTACCTTTAACTTGGGGTAATAACGTTGTAATGGAGCATAATAACAGCAGTAAATAGCCGAAGTTGTAAACAACACGCTGCAATGACATTCTTCGGCGTGTATAAAACAAATGACTCCAAAGACTTCGATGATGCAGATGCTGATTGTGATGCTGATGATGCTGACGTTGCTGGGGCAGATAATGGCTAGTGATATCCTTGTGAGCTGTTTGTGGAAACTGTCGTCCACAGCTCGTTGTACAGCTACTACTGGACATTATTTGTGTCATATTTCTTTCGGATTGATGTGGATGTGTTGGTGTTTGTTTTACAACGGGGGGAATTTGTTACAACATTGCACACGGCAAGGATGAATACAATTCATAAAGTTTGTTTGTTTGTTTTTTTTTACACTTTTATGGGAATTTTGTGTTGTTTTTGTTCTTAAGATATGATGTGTTGTTCTTTTGTTTGATAACTTTGTTCTGATATTGCAATTTCACAAAAATGCAATGGCAACCGACGACGAGCGACTTTGCACTTTTACTAACCGAAACGAAATTGCATTTTTTTACTATTGTTGGTGTTGTTTTTTATGTCCTCTTTTTTTACAGTCCTTGTGCTTTGTTTCACAGAGTGATGGCAGTTTTGCACTCAATTCATATCAAACATTTATAAACCCGTATACAAGAAAATGAAGTATGCCATAGTATATTTTAAAGTCTGGCAGTGTTGTTGTTGCTGTTGTTTTCTTTCCAAGAACAAGTTTCGAATGTGTCCCAAGGAATTTTAGTTTTATCGTTTCGGAGCGACGGAAGCGGAAACTATAACGTGGTTGTTGTTCTTGTTGAGTGTCAAGTACAATGTCTTGAAAAATGCTGTGCTGTTGCAGTTGGTGTTGCTGTTGCTGTTATTGGGGTAATGTAACCTTCAACTTGATCCTTAACATTTCACAAAAAGAAAGGAGGAATTGCAGTCTGCAACCAATGTCGTTTCAATTCTGTCCAACTTGAAAATACGTAGGACAGACGAAGAACAAGGACAAGGTCTGCGACACCGCGATTACGAGCGAGTTGTTTGGGATACACGCGACACCGACAAACGGGAACACTTAAATATGTTAAATATACCACGAGAGCGAGAGCGTAGACGGACGTGTTTTGAGTATCCTGTACACAGTTTGGGCGTGTGTTTTGCCCCCAAAAAATGGAAGTCTTAAATTTTTGCAATTCGCCTGGCCCTCTACCGTCCTTGTTATATCCCCGCAAAGGACATGCAACACACAACAACTTAAAGTGAAGTTCTTTTTATGAGCGTCTTGTAATGTTCAGCAGCAATTTATCACTTGGGTATTTTTTATTGTTCCTTCTACTTCTCGCTCAGCATTACTCCCGGAAACTAGAGTTGGCATTTAGGTGTTCCACAAGGAGTTCTCTTGCAATAGGAACAAATAACTGCTAGTTTTTCCCTCTTTCTTTCTTTCCTCTCACTCCGATTTGATGATGTTATAAGCTTAGTACACTAATATTGTTCTATTTGTAGAAAGATGTGTTTTTTCTTTGTTTTCAACTCTGCTGCTTGTATTATTTACAACCCAAAAATATGTTTAAGTGTTTGTTGGATTTTTGCAAAGCAATAAAAAATTGTCACGTTGATAATGCGTTGAGTATGTTTTCCAGAGAGTCGTTTTCGTATGTATTTTTGTTGTTTTGGGTTTTTCAGGAACGTGTTCAAATTTGGTAGTACTTAAAAGTTCTCCTGTTTTGGGTGATTCTGAAAGAGATAAAAAATAGAAAAAAATATATTAGAAAAACTTGAATTTTTCAAGAATTCAAATTGTATTTAAAAAAACGATGAAATGGTAGTATATAGAAAATACAGCGACGGAACACGTTTTATGGAATTGAAACTTTTTTCTGATGCTTGTTTCCAAAGAAGAAATATGAAAGGGAAATATTTTCTTTATTGAAATATTAATTTTTATAGTGAAATACAATTTTTGAAAGGTTTATATCATAATTGGTCTAGTTCTATGAAAATGTTAAAAGAAAAATATTTTCCTTATAAAAATCTTCAGTTTACATTTGAATAAAAAAATTAATTGAACCCTTCTCAAAAAATAACAAGTTAAAAAGCAGTTAGTTCGGCCGGGCCGAACTTTTAATGCAACGAATTTTCAAAAAATAAAATCCTTAAAAAATTCTGTTAAAATTTTAAAAATACCGAATATAGCCGTTATATTGGCATTTATACGACGTTGTTAGTCATAAGCCATTACCATATTCAAATTCGAAACTGGATCCGCACCGACAATTTTCTGTCACAGACTGTAGTTCCCATAACGAACTTCAAATACCAAATTTTAAACAATTCCGGTTAATAATGTCGCTAAAATCATCAAAATACCGAACATAGCGAGGTGCCGTTATATGGGGGCTATACGAAGACGTGGACCTGCACAGACAATTTTCAGTCTTAGGGTGTAGTATCCATTTGGAACTTCAAATACCAAATTTGAAACAATTCCGGTGAATAACGTCGCTAAAATCATCAAAATACTGAATATCGGGAGGTACCGTAATATGGGGGATATACGAAGACATAGACTTGCACAGACAATTTTCTATCTTAGGGTGTAGTATCCATTTGGAACTTCAAATACCAAATTTGAAACAATTCCGGTGAATAACGTCGCTAAAATCATCAAAATACCGAATATAGGGGGGTCACCGTTATATGGGAGCTATATGAAAACGTGGACCTACATGGCCCATTTACGAACTTAACCTGCCTACTGGAAAAATAAACATGTGTGCAAAATTTAAGCCATCTATCTCAATTCATTCGAAAGATAGTGTGATTACAACAGACAGACAGACGGACAGACAGACGGACCTCACTAAATCGATTTAGAATTTTACGCTGATCAAGAATATATATACTTTGTTGGGTCTGACATGAGTATTTCGAGGAGTTACAAACGGAATGACAAAGTTAATATACCCTCCATAGTATGGTGGATGGTATAAAATCAGTTAAAAATTCTGTTAAAAAAATAAAATACCGAATGTAGCCATTATATTAGGGTATATACGAGGACTTGGACCTGCATAGGAAACTTTTGTCACAAGCCATTTCAATATTCAAATGTGAAACTAGGGAAAAAATCGGCGAATAATGTAGCTAAAATCATCAAAATATCGAATATGGGGGGCTATACCAAAACGTGAACCTGCACAGACAATTATCTGTCATAGGCTGTAGTATCCATTACGAACTTCAAATACCAAATTTGAAACAATTCCGGTAAAAAATGCCGCAAAAACCAGCAAAATACCGAATATCGGGAGGTGCCGTTATATGGGGCTATACGAAAACGTGGACCTGCACAGACAATTTTCTGTCTTAGGCTAACTTACGAACTTCAAATACCAAATTTAAAACAACTCCGGTGAATAATAATTCTAAAGCTCTATATTAAATGTTGCGATATGTATTCCAAAAAATTGTGCTCAAAAGACCTTAAAAAAGTTTGGCCTAAGAAACTTTTTTGGGGGTTTGATTTACTAATCGAATACAACAAACCTAAAAGGCGAGGTTTCCAATGAATCTTAATCCGTTATTTATAATAAATGTTGAAGATGCAATATTTTGCCATTCAATGTAGGCTACTTTGCGATTCGAACTTTTAAAACGCACATGCTTTCTTTTTTCAATTCTACTTTTATTATGCTGGAAAAATATAAGGAATACAATTTTTGAGACCAAAATATCAATTGATTGAACATTTTATTTTTCTGGGTGTTCTAAAGTTTTTTTTTTTTTGTATTCAGAGGCTTCTGTAATAGGAAGTGTCTACACGTATATATTCTCACATGAACTATTGTTCCAAAATGAATTTTGTCTAGTCTTTACCATTTCGTGACTTTGGCAAATTGAAGTGTCGGGTTGTTGAACATATTTTCGAAAATGAATAAAAACTAATTTTAAATCAATATTTTCCCAACGTTGTGTCAACTTTTGTCCGTCATCTGCATTGGTTTGAATTTTTATTAATTATTTTTATTTCATTTATTTATTTATTTAATTCAATCCACTTGAATTTCAATTATTATTTTTTATATATAATAAAGAAATCAAAATTCAGTAATAATGAATAAAACTTGACTAAATGTCAAAGAACGTATTATTATTTTAATTTATTGCTCTAGACTGTATTATATGTTTTCAAATTTGATATAAAGTTTGTGTTATTATTCCAGAATTAGGATTTCAAAAATCAATTATGCCATCGTAAATCCAAGTGTGTAAATGGGCTATAAGAATTATCTAAATGCATAGTTTTGCTTCGGTAATTCAAAAGTGTCTACCTGGTATTCAAATGTTATCCATTTATGGTATCAGTTCTTTCCAAGGGTGTTATACACTAAGCAGCGTTTGCTACCTAGCCGAGAATTTATGTACGGCATCATTTTGTGCAGGAAAGAGATACCGTCGTGTGTAAACACCACACCATAAGAAGTAATTTCACCTATTTGTAATATTTTTAAGTAATCTCACTTTTTATTGTTTTGAAAAAAAAAAAAATATTTTCTAATTTTTATTTATTTATAGAAATCATGACGATTTGTGGGATGTCACTATTCCGTGGCAAAGATGCAATGCCCATGTGACACTCAATGCCTTTTTCTCTCTCACTTCTTTTATTTTTTTCCTCTTCAGAATTTGGCAACGGTATTTTTGTACTACTTAACATGAAATTTGTAAACACTACAAGGTTTTAAAACTATTTCACTTTTAAGAATTTAATAATTATTTATTTCTTTTTCTTCATGTCGGCCAACAAACTTTCGTTGGTACTACTTCACTCGCAACACATTTGGCCCTCTGTGTGACGGCTTTCACTTGCATTCAACGGTACACCCAATTTTTTATTTAATATTTAATGGGCATATTAAATATAAACAATCACACTTCTCCCATTCAATTTAATAATTTAATACATTTTATTGCCTTTTAGTAAACGAATGCATTTAATTGAGAAATTTCCCGGCAAATAAAACGCATAACTTTCTCACTCTCTAGCCCATGTGCTTCATTTGATTTCACTTATTCTTACAACAGCCTACTTTGCTGTTGTGCGTCAAATTTTATTATTTAAATTAAATTATTTATTTAAACTAAACCGAATTGTTGTATATTTTTAATCAATTTTAATAAATAACGCTAAAAACTAAACACCGAAACTCCGTCGCATGCAACCAATGCACCAAACAAACAGACGTCAACTAGCGGAGAAAGGGAAAGAGAGAGAGAAAACAAACACAACACAGCTGCATTTCTTTTTGGCACCACCTTGGATAGGGTGAGCCAGAGAGGTGTATTATTGTGCTCCTCTCTGATCGTTGTTGCTGTTTGTCTTAGAAAAGAGAGGGAGAGCGAGTTGTGTTCATTGAGATCACGTGTGAGAGTATTTGACAAAGTGCGTGGGTTTCATTGCGTTGCCTACATTAAGGGAACCTTAGACTATGTGATTTACTGATGTCACAGAAACGACTGAAATAATGAGGCAAATTCAAGAAAATTAAATGATTTTTTCCTTTTATGTTGTCTCTATCTATCATACTATCATTTTTATATTTATTTATCATGGAGCATAATTTTAATAAATATGTAGATCCGTATGCATGCATATTGCCATTTTAAAACTGTAAATACCATACCATGACATGTCACAAACACCAACAACAACTGTCTATCTCACCAACTGAAAATGACATTAATTTGTTATGAAAATAATATCATTTGGATTGATAAAGGATAACAGCGGCAAAAAAACACATTTGCTCTCACAAAAACTCCATTATTATTGGTTATGAGTATAAAAATTGCCATATAGCTACAACCCTCCCAAAGAAATAACGTTGGATATGGACCATTATTCAGTTTATTTGTTTATACAGCAAATGAATATGAATTTAATGGTATCCGCAAATAAACACAATTTTTAACAGTTGGATACATTTTTGTGTTTATCTCCAAACGAAGCACAGAAAAAAATGGAATTGAAATTCGTTATGCAAATTAAGGCAGTGTAAATTAAGTTATGTCGATAAAACAAAAAAAAAAAAAAACTATTTTCAATTTCTTTTAAATTAAATTACTTAAATAGTGAATTTCTGTTGTTGTTGTTGCTGTGTAAAATTGTTTATTTTGGCTTTCCCTTTTGCATTATGGGTCAGTCTCCAAATCCCAGTGTTATTCTTTATTTCATGCATCATATGCATTTTTAATGTATTATTTTCTAAAAATAACAAATAACCAGTCAGCATGGCTGCATGCCAGCAATGCAAAGGAAACGGTTGTACAAAAAATGTTTATTATTAATAATAATAACAATATTTGCTTAACCTCAATATTTTTTGTGGCCTTCCATTAACTACGTTGGGAAATTATGGTCACACACACACACAGAACATATGTTTGGGAGTACACTCACTCACTCATCTGATGATGAATTGATTGTCCTTTGTTATCCTTTGTTCGACATAGTATAGAGAATACCAAAAAAAAAAAAAAAAAACAACAACAAATGAAAACAGTTTCCCTTTCCAAGCATGGTGACCTAGTTTATTTTTAGTTGGTCGGTGTATGTATGACAATTTTTTCTTCTCTCTTTATCCTTCATATCCTTGCTTCTTGACAAAAGTAATAATAGAAATAAATCTTAACTATTTGTCACTTTCAAAATGTATTATAAGGATATTGCTTTT